TAATAGCTGAAAATTTCCCTAATATGGAAAAGGAAACACAAGTCCAGGAAGGAGAGTCCCATACAAGATAAATCCAAGGAGGAACATGCTGAGACACACATTAAATGGACAAAAAGAGAAAGAATCTAAGGCAACAAGAGAAAAGATACAAGGGAATCCCCATGAGGTTATCAGCTGATTCTTCAGCTGAAACTGTAGGCCAGAAGGGAGCGGCATGATGTATTTAAAGTGATGAAAGGGGAAAACCTACAACCAAGAATACTCTTCCCAGCAAGCCTCTTGTTCAGATTCGATGGAGAAATCAAATGTTTATAGACAAGCAAAAGAGAATTCACCACCACCAAACCAGCTTTACAACAAATGCTGAAGGAAGTCCTCTAGACGGAAAAGAAAAGGCCACAACTAGAAACAGGAAGATTATGAATGGGAAAGCTCACTGGTGAAGGCATAGGAGACAGCAAGGTACAGGAAACAAAGCACCTGTACTCTGAAAACGACAGAAATCAAAGATAACGCAAGCAGGTGAAAAGATTCTGGATTGGGATGTGTTCTGGATTGGGAGAATCAATACTGTCAAAGTCACTACCCAGGGCAGTCTACTGATTCAGTACAATACCTATCAAATTAGCAATGACATTTTTCACAGAACCAGAACAAAAATCTTCTAAATTTGTATGAAAACACAAAAGACCCTGAATAGCCACAAGAATCCTGAGAAAGAAAAACAGATGGAGGAATCATTCTCCCTGACTTCAGACTATACTACAAAGATGCAGCGATCAAAAGCGTGAAATACACACAAAGCAGAAATACAGACCAATGACGCAGGATAGCAAGTCCAGAAATTATGCTCACACTTACAGTCACCCAGTCTACAACAAAGGAAGCACAGAGATACTGTGAAGAAAAGACAGCCTCTATAAGTAGTGCTGGGAAGCCTGGACAGCTACATGTAAAAGAATAAAATTAGAGCATTCTCTAACACCATATCCAAAAATAAATTCAAAACAGACTAAATACCTAAATGTAAGACTGGATATTATAAAACTCACAGAGGAAAACATAGGCAAAACATCTTTTAACATGGATCACAGCAAGATCTTTTTGGATCCACCTCCTAGAGTAATGAAAATAAAAAATAACAGGATATAATTAAAAGCTTTGGACAGCAAAGGAAACCATAAATAAAGCAAAAAGACAGCTCACAGAGTGGGAAAAAATATTTGCAAATGATAAGACCAACATGAGATTGATCTCCAAAATATACAAACTACTTGCAGCTCAATATCAAAAAAAGCAAACAACCCAATCAAAAAAATCAAAAACACATTTCTCCAAAGACATAAAAATGGCCAGAAAGCACATGGAAAGATGCTCAATGTTGCTAATTATTAGAGAAATGCAAATCAAAACTATAATGAAGTGTATCACCTCATATTGATCAGAATGGCTATCATCAAAAAATCTACAAATGATAAATGTCAGAAAGAGTGTGGAGAAAAGGGAATCCTCTTGCTCTGTTGGTGGAAATGTAAATTGATACAACCACTATGGAGAATAGTATAGAGTTTCCTTTAAAAAACTAAAAGTAGAGTTACCATATGATCCAGTCTGGGCATATATCCAGAAAAGACAAAAGCTCTTATTGAAAAGATGAATGCATCCCACTGTTCACAGCAGCACTATTTATAATATCCAAGACATGGAAGCAACCTAAATGTCCATCAACAGATGAATGGACAAAGAACATGTGTGTGGGGTGTGTGTGTGTGTGTGTGATGGAATATTACTCAGCCCATAAGAAAGATGAAATAATGCCACTTGCAGGACATGGATGGACCCAGAGGTTATCATACTAAGTAAGTCAGATGGATAAAGACAAATATGATATCACTTATATGCGGAATTTAAAAAATTATATAAATGAACCTATTTACAAAGCAGAGATAGACTCAGACATAGAATACAAACTTAGGGTTGCCAAAGGGGAAAGCGAGAGAAGGGATAATTTAGGAGCTTGGGATCAACAGATACACACTACTAAACATAAACAAGAGAGATCTACTGTGTGGATCACAGTAAACTGGAAAATTCTGAAAGAGATGGGAATACCAGACCACCTGACCTGCCTCTTGAGAAATCTCTATGCAGGTCAGGAAGCAACAGTTAGAACTGGACATGGAACAACAGACTGGTTCCAAATAGGAAAAGGAGTACATCGAGGCTGTATATTGTCACCCTGCTTATTTAACTTATATGCAGAGTACATCATGAGAAACGCTGGGCTGGAGGAAGCACAAGCTGGAATCAAGATTGCCGGGAGAAATATCAATAACCTCAGATATGCAGATGACACCACCCTTATGGCAGAAAGTGAAGAAGATCTAAAGAGTCTCTTGATGAAAGTGAAAGAGGAAAGTGAAAAAGTTAGATTAAAGCTCAACATTCAGAAAAGTAAGATCATGGCATCTGGTCCCGTCGCTTCATGGCAGATAGATGGGGAAACAGTGGAAACAGTGGCTGACTTTATTTTTTGGGCTCCAAAATCACTGCAGATGGTGACTGCAGCCATGAAATTAAAAGACGCTTACTCCTTGGAAGAAAAGTTACGACCAACCTAGACAGCATATTAAAAAGCAGAGACATTACTTTGCCAACAAAGGTCCACCTGGTCAAGGCTATGGTTTTTCCAGTGGTCATGTATGGATGTGAGAGTTGGACTATAAAGAAGGCTGAGAGCACTGAAGAATTGATGCTTTTGAATTTCGGTGTTGGAGAAGACTCCTGAGAGTCCCTTGGACTGCAAGGAGATCCAACTAGTCCATCCTAAAGGAGATCAATCCTGAGTGTTCATTGGAAGGACTGATGTTGAAGCTGAAACTCCAATACTTTGGCCACCTGATGCAAAGAGCTGACTCACTGGAAAAGACCCTGATTCTGGGAAAGATTGAGGGCAGGAGGAGAAGGGGACGATGGAGGATGAGATGACTAGATGTCATCGTCGACTCGATGGACGTGGGTTTGGGTGGACTCCAGGAGCTGGTGATGGACAGGGAGGCCTGGCGTGCTGTGGTTCATGGGGTCGCGAAGAGTCGGACATGACTGAGTGACTGAACTGAACTGATACCACAGGGAACTATATTCAGTATCTTGTAATAACCTACAATGGGAAAGAATCTGAAAAAGAATAGTTATAGGTATTTAACTAAACACTTTATCATACACCTGAAACACTGTAAATCAACTAATACTTTCAATTAAAAAATACCCAAAAAAGGATGAGGTAACTAGTATGATAACCCTCCTGTGGTGAATGGGAAACCCACAGGTAATACATAGAACAAATGAATGCTAGAAAAACTAAGGCAGTTGTTTCACATAGTTGGAGGTAACTATATCTATGAAACTATACACCCTAAGTTTTATGGCATTGAAAGTCATCTTTTTAAAAACTAGAGAACAGTGCCCTTGAAGAAAAACTGTATGACAGTTTATGAGATCATAGGGAGGTCAGATGTGATTGGCTTTCCCTCACAGCTCAGTCAGTAAAGAATCTGCCTCCGATGCAGGAGACCCGGGTTCGATTCCTGGGTCGGGAAGATCCCCTGGAAAAGGAAATGGCAACCCACTCCAGCATTCTTGCCTGGAGAATCCCAGGGATAGAGGAGCCTGGCAGGCTGCAGTCCATGGGGTCGTAAGAATGGGACACGACTAAACCACCAACCAGAGAGGTGGGATGTGGTGGGGTTAGAAGACTTGGGTTCAGGTTCAGAGATCACCACTCATGTCACCTTGGTCAAATTACAGTTTCTCTTGGCTTTTGCTTCTTCTCATTGTAAAGGAATTATCTGCCCCTTTCACAGAATCACGTTTTGGAAATTATCTCAGATAAGAAATGATGGGAAAAGCACTAACCATTAATTTTCAGAACTCTGGCAGTTGAAAAAAATTTGTAAGACTTAATATAAAGACAGAGATGTACGTAAAATGATTAAACTAGGAAAGAAGTCCTTCATATAATGTTTTTCTTTCGAAGAACTCAAGTTTATTTTAGGTGTGTAGCTGTTGTCAGACTGCCCGGGTTGTGCTTCAGTTCATCTGCCTACTAGCTGGTAAGATTCTTAACTCTCTGCAGGCTCAGTCTGTTCATTTAAGGTGCATCTCTACCCCCACTGTAGTGTGGAAATACATTTAATAATCCTTGAGAAACACGCAGCACAGTGCCTGGCACATAGTGAGTTTTCAGTGAATATTGTTTTCTTACCCTTCCACCCATCATTGATTACATTAGCAGATGTGCAGAACTGGAATCCAGAGCTTCTGATCAAAAGCAGTCCTTTTTCTGTTAAGGGCTTGACTAAAATGCAAATTCAACCCGTAGTTCTCTTATATACTGTTGGCTTAATGTGGAGTTTTGCTGATGGACATAATCAAAATGTTGAAACATTATTTCTAAATCTCAGAAAATTATTGGGGAGCAGATAGGATAAAGAGAACCATAATTCTATCCAGATTTTTATTCCAGTGCTCATAAGGTGTTTTAGTTTTCCATAAAGCGAAAGAATGTATCTTTGGCATTGATAGATGTAGAGTTACTATGCATCTGGTTCATGTTTTTACATCCCGGTAGATATGTGGCAGGACACCTAGAAAAGTTTCGGGAATTATTTTTCTCCACATGCACCACTTTATTTTCTAGCCTGGCTATGACTGTTAGGCTTAGGAAACACACACACACAGCATAGGCATGGCTACAGGATGCCTTAAAACCTGTTGTAGCCATCGTTACCACTAATACAGATTATCACAGTATCATCCTGTGATAAATCCAAACTGTTGTCAGTTGTTGCCTGAGACTCTGAAAACCAGTGTGGCTGCTTCCATGCCTGAGATTTCTGGGGAAATCTCCCTGTGTCCCTTTCCACCTAGTTTGTTGCCTCCCCACTTTACACACAGTGCTCTGCTTAGACGCTCAGTCATTTCCAACTCTTTGTGACCCCATGGACTGTAGCCCGCCAGGCTCCTCTGTCCCTGGCGAGTCTCCAGGCAAGAACACTGGAGTGGGTTGCCTTGCCCTGATCTTCCCAGCCCAGGGATCGAACCCAGGTCTCCTGCTTTGCAGGCAGATTCTTCACCCACTGAGCCAATCAGGGAGGCTCAAGAACACCGGAGTGGGTAGCCTATCCCTTCTCCAGGGGATCTTCCCAACCCAGGAATCAAACCGGGGTGTTCTGCATTGCAGGCAGATTCTTTACCAGCTGAGCTACCAGGGAAACCCTTACACACAGGGTCATTGCTGTGGGTTTGTGGGCACAGAGACCATACCCCCAAGTTCCTAGCTAGATCCCGAGAACCCAGCTCTCGTGGCTCATGGCAGGTGCTCAGTAGATATTTGTTCAAAGAGTGGATTCTCAAAAATTAAGTAATATCTATTGTGGATACATTTATAAAACATAAAACATGAAGGAATTAAAAAGCAAGCTAGCATTGTGTAACTGCTAGTTTTAACTTACGTCAAAACATTAATAAAAGTCATTGTACTTTATTCTACTTTGCAGATTGACTAATACAGTCATAATACAGTCTACATTGCAGCCACTAATACAGATTGTCACAGTATCATCCTGTGATGTCATAAGACTAATGACTTAATTAGTTTACTGCCTTATAGTTAAAAGTCTCTTAATTTTGAAATTGAGTTAACCTTTTTAGGCTTTATTGCATCTTTCTGCTGCTTAGGTAACTCTTTGAAACCGTAAACAGTAACTCCAGTTACTTAGGTAACTTAGGTAGCTTAGTAACTAAGTAACTTAGGTAACTCTTTAAAACCATAAACTCACATCTTTTGATTCTAGACCTGCTGGAGGTGTAGAAGCCAGTTTTGCTTTGAGGTTGCAGTGACTACCATTTGTTGAGAAGTGAGGCTCAGAGGCGCTGCAATGCATCAATAAGAGGCAGCAAATGCTCCCACCTAATCAAGTATTTCCTGAAAGGGAGACGAGCTGGGGGACACAGATTCAGGCCATACAGCTGTCCCCTGTTCACACTGAATGGCTATCACAGTGGTGCTTTCATTCTCTAAAGCAAAATGTTCAGAATCTTGGGCCCTATGCTGGAGCAGTTTCTAATGGAACATCTTGAAAACTCTATGACACTTTAAGGAATGTCGGAAAGCCATCATGCAGACCAAGCCAAAGAAAGCCCTGTTTAGATTTTAATGGTTTGTGACTTGTACTATGTCTCCTGTCCTTGGGTCCTGGCTGCTGTGACATTGTGTGTAGGCTTCACTGCAGAGGCATTTGTTTCTCTATGTCTGTCAGCTTGGGAAGGAAAGTCAAGGTGAAGACAGGTGAAACAAACCACTTTGACCATATCCTTAAACTGAAGCTAACTTCTACCTTAAGTCCGTTGATTCTAAATTCTACCTTAAGTCAGTTGAGTTCAAGAAAGCTTATCATACATAATCAAACCAGAAAAATTTTTCAGGTGAGAACAGTTCCAATCTCTTTTGAGTGATTCTAGTACTTCCAGGTTAAAAACTTTATATTGTTTGATCCTATGATTATTTTTATTCTGTTATTGAATGAAAGAATAACACTGAATGATTCAAAATATATTTTAATTTGTAAGTTTTGGTTAAATTTAAGTGTTTAAAAACAATAATTGACTGGATCTCTCAACCTCACATCATGGAAAAAGAATATCTCCATGCTCACGAGAAGTCTCTGTGTCCAATAAGACACTCCTTCAAGAAATGATATGGCTCCCACCCTCACAGAAGCTCAGCTCCTGTCCCCACCAGACATTTGGGAGTGCAGTTGTTTGGACTTTTACTTGTGTCTGTGTTCTGCTGTCTCTGAAATCAGAACCGCTTCCTTCCTCTGACTGATGCATACCTCACGTCATTTGAGCCCATTTCCCTAAAATCCTAAGTTCCCCTTGGTTTATGGCAGCAGTTCTCAAACTTTTGGTCTCAAGACTTTATTACACTTTATGAAATTATTGATGACCCACCCAAAAGTTTTATTTACTGATTTATCTATCAATAGTTAGCATTTTAGAAATTAAAACATTAAATGTTTATTTCTTTTTAAAAATTCATTATACATTAAATACATAACATATTTTGGAGAAATTGGTGAGAAGAGCCAAATTGTTTTAATTTTGAAAGTCTCCTAAATATCTGGCTTAATAGAAGACAGCTGAATATTCTTATCTCCACTCAATCTATTGCAGTATGTTGTTTGGTTAAAGAATTTGAAGAAACTCTGGCCTTACATACATATGTTGTTGGAATAGGAGTATTTTAATAGCCTTTTCAAATAACTGTGGATATTCTTCAATAATACTAGAGTAAAACTCAGCAGATGATCCTTTCTTAAAGGTTGGTTACAAAGCAGAGTCTGCAACTGTATCAATGAACTAATGGTCTGTCTTGCACTTTGAATGAGTTTTGCAGCATCATGCATTGGTCATTTGGAAAATCTTAATTCACTGAATTATGCAGTTCTTCCAAATATTTATGCCTTTTAATATACAATATTATAAAATCACATTTGATAACAGCACTCCTAATCTCATTGATAACTAGGAAACTTATAATATTTGATACCAGTTCTCCAAAATTCAAAATTTTGATTGAAAACTCAAATTTTATCATTAGCAACAAATTCTTTCAATTATTTACCTTGAAGTAACACTTTCAAGAAAATGTCTGCCAGATAGAAATCTGAGTCACCACAGTTTGTCAGCCATTCTTTCAAATAAAAATGGTGTTTCATTAAGAAGTGGCTAGTTCAACTTGAAACTCAGTCACACAAGTACTTTTCACGGAAACAACCATTTACTTTGAGAGGCAGCAGAATGTTTTTTTTTCACTTCCTCTGTTGGCACGCCTAATATTAAAAAGATGTGTACTTAAGAGCTGAAATTGAATAAAACATCCTTTCTACTGCTTTATCAAGGACTTTCTTAGGTGGAGCTGGCTCTTTTTGTTTTGCCAGTGCATAGCAGTACAGAACACAATCATTCCTAGTACAGTTTGGTTATCAATGCCTTGATTCATGCAAGGGTACCATTTTTGCCCACCATGGCTTTTGCACCATCAATGCAAATTTTGACACAGTTGTATAGAATAAACCATGAGATTTGAAAAATACCTTTAAAATCCTAAAATTAGGTCGAGGATTTACCGATGCCTCAAATGAAATAATCAGTGGCTCCCAAGGTTAACAGTCCAAGAGCCATGGATTCAAACTTGGATCCAGCAACTCCTTCCACCTTTGCAGTATGACTCTGGAAGCCTAGTCAGTTCTGGTAAAGAAGCTAGAAATAACTTTTTGCTATTTGATAAATTAATGAATTTAAATTCCCACATGCTATTCCTCCAGACCCCTTCATAATCATTAATTTTCTTTCAAATAAGAAACTGCAACAGCTAAAACCATTTGTATACAAATCACTTTACATTTTGAACATTCCTTCTAAAAGAAATTTTCTCTGATTCAATACAAAATACATGAGTACCTATCATGCACTCAATACCAACTGGGCACTTTAGGGAATAAAACAAGTGCACATTCCTACTCCTCAATTATTTTTGCAAAGGCTTACTGCATGAAACAAAGGATGTATGGTTAAATGTTGCCTTAGATTTAGGTTATAAATAATAAAATTAGAGATTTAGGGATTTCAAAAAGAAGCTGATGGATAGAAGATCCCCTGGAGAAAGGAATGGCAACCTGCTCTGGTGTTCTTACCTGGACAATTCCATGGACAGAAGAACCTGGTGGGCTACAATCCATGGTTTGCAAAGAGTTGAACACGACTGAGTGACTAACACACACACACACACACACACACACACACACTGAACCTGGAAATGAGCCAGTCCTGAGGGGTTGGAGGTAACCAAAACTGTAAATATTTGTACACAGCCACATCCAGAGCTGGAGAGGTGAAGAGAAAGGGCTGGAATAGCTCTTTCTTCTTCACTCTCCTACCCTCCAGTTGCCTTTAGTTGAGCAAGGAGGATGTTAGGTAAACCAAGGGACATGGAGGAGGCAACTCTAGAGTGAGTCACAGCCAAAAGGGGTTGTCAAAATGACAGAGTGAGACTTCCCTGGTGGTCCAGTGATTAAGACTTCCAATGCAGGCAGTGCAGGTTCAATCCCTGGTTGGGGAGCTAAGATCCTACACACCTCGGGGCCAAAAAGGCCAAAACATAGAATGAAAATGCTATCATAACAAATTCCATTTGCTACAACATAGATGGAAGTCAAAAGATGGAAGACAAAAACCATATAACTTTACTAATATGTGAAATCTGAAAACAAGAACAAACAAAAACATCATCAGCACAGAGGACAGTTTGGTGGTTTCCAGAGGCAAGGAGGTTATGAAGCTGGTAAAATGGATGGAACTCAAGCATACAGTGATGGATAGTTACTAGACTTTTGGTGATGATCACGACAACAAAGTTGCAGTGAACACAGATATCAAATCATAATGCTGTACACCTGAAACTTATATAATGTTATGTATTTATTTTGTCTCAATAAAAATTAATTAAAAAAAAAGAAAATGCTATCATTACAAATTCAATAAAGACTAAAAAAAATTTTTTAATGACCCAGGTTATCAGGGCACCATTGTCTGCTGGAGACCAGATGCACTGCTTAGATCTCCATCCTAGAAAGAACCAGCTATCCATCTATAGGAGGTGTTGGCGCTCAATTTCCAACTGTCAGTTCCTTTAGGGTTGGCCTCAGCTGCAAAAAGCCACTTCTCTGCAAAAAAGGTACCATGCTCAAGGTCATACCCTTCCCAAGACAGTTTATATCCATTAACAGGGGCAGGGATGTAAAAGCATAGCCATTCTAGACAACTCTGCAGACAGTATTCACTCCAAAGCTCCCTGCTACCTTGGCTGAGGCCTTAATGCAATTCAACTTCTTCTGATCCATCCTTCTTTCTCCTTCTTCTCACAGGTGGGATTCCCCTGTGAGAATTCTTGCACTCCAAATTCTGCCTCGGTACCTGATTCTGGAAAATCTAACTTGTGACATTCTCTCTTGCGGATCAGTACATATATATGTGCATATGCTTATGTATACATGTGTGTGTGCTCTGTCGCTCAGTCGTGTATGACTTTTTGTGGCCTCGTGGACTGTAGCCTACCAGGCTCCTCTGTCCATGGGATTTTCCAGCAAGAATACAGCCATTTCCTCCTCCAGGGGATCTTCCTGACCCAGGGATCAAACCCACATCTCCTACACATGTACATGTTTATGTATATGTACATATGTCTATGTATACATATATTTTTAAATTACTTTCT